AGATTTTGAAACATTTCAAATATACTCTCATTGCGAATTACTTCAATGTTTCAAGACAACTTGAATTGCTTGATTGAGGAACATTTCAAAATCACCTGAATTTTAAATGATTGGAACATTTCAATATGACTCTCATTCTGAATGATGGAAACATTTCTCAGGAACATTCCAGGGATGTTGCAAAATCACTGTAATATTCCTGAAATATTTCAAAACAACTATAATTGACATACTCCAAAACTTTTCGAAATTACTTGAGAAGTGAATGAATGAAACATTTCAAAAAAAAATTGGTAGTGAATAATTGAAACATATCATTTACTACTTATTCAGGAATGTTTCAATGCGTTCGAAATATGTATGAAACGTTTCAAGGTACCTCAAACTATTGAAATTTTGAAACATTTCAAATATACTCTCATTGCGAATTACTTCAATGTTTCAAGACAACTTGAATTGCTTGATTGAAGAACATTTCAAAATCACCTGAATTTTAAATGATTGGAACATTTCGATATGACTCTCATTCTGAAAGATGGAAACATTTTTCAGGAACATTCCAGGAATATTTCAAAATCTTTGTACCATTTCTGAAACATTTCAAGACAACTTCAACTGATATATTCCGAAACAATTCAAAATTTCTTGGATAATTAATAAATGTAACGTTTCAAAGTTTCTTCAATTGTGAATAATTGAAACATATCATTTTCTACTTATTCAGGAATGTTCCAATGCTTTCGGAATATGTTTGGAACATTTCAAGGTTCATCAAACTATAGAAATTTTGAAACATTCCAAATATACTCTTATTGCGAATTACTGCAATATTAAAAGACAAGACAAGAAATTGGTTGATTAAGGAACATTTCAAAATCACCTGAATATCAAATGGTTGGAACATTTCGATATTACTCTCATTCTGAATAATGGAAACATTCATCAGGAACATTCCAGGGATATTTCAATATCATTGCAACATTTCTGAAACATTTCAAGACAACTTTAATTGATATATTCCGAAACATTCCAAAATTACTTGAATGATTAATTAATGAAACGTTTCAAAATCACTTCAATTGAAACATATCATTCAATACTGATTCAGGAATGTTCCAATGCGTTAGGAATATGTTTGAAAAATTCTAAGGCTCCTCAAATTATTGACATTTTGACACATTTATTAGGAATTACTTACCTACTACAATATTCCAAGACATGCAACTTGAATTGCTTAATTTAAGAATATTTCAAAATAACCCGAATTTTAATAAATTAATTAGATTATTTCACAACTATTACATGGTCTATTTTGACCAAGCATTTCATCATATTATGATGCAATTCAGCATTTCCCCTCTACAGCCGCCGCTTTCGTGGCTTCGGTAATCGATCGCGGGTTCCCGTCTTCGGCTCTAAGCGTTCGCGCACGCGCATTCAGTTTCCTTCTCCTTGTGAAAGGCTTCGCAGTTTTCGCTTTCCGACTGTTGTCTCAAGCCAAGCAAAGCAAAAGACATCTTATATCTTATAATAGTGATAAAATATAATTATTTCACTCAAGTCAAACACATTTTCGAGTGTTTACTATTTAATCGTACCGGGGTAGACCTCTTAGGTGATTTAGGCCATGTGAAGTAACATCAAAACTTGCAACCAAACAAACAACACAAACGACTCCATTTTTTTTATTATCACCTGGTGTGGCTGGACTTTGAAATGTATTCAACGGCTCCATGGACAAGGCCGAGGTACGTATAAATATAGAGAAACAATAATTTCAGATGAAATATCAAATATTATTAGATATCATGATGGGTATATTCATAATGATACTTTTTGTTCTAGGATGGAGTGTGAAAATTTCATCATGACTTAGAAGCTGCACAAGAATAGTGCTTTCAATTGCGATGTAACCGAAGAAAAATATTGAAGCACTCAACATGTGAATAACGATGTTAAATTACTTGATATATATGTACATACCTAATACGTCGTGATTATGTGAAATTTCTGATGATACTTTTTTAACTGCTTGTTCCATATATCATTATTATATAAGCAATATAATCCATTTTTTTATGTCTATTATATTTTATTTCACCAGCAATATGAATATATTCCAGCGATATTTGTAGGTATTTTTCATTCTGAAACATTCAATGGGAATGTTTCATAAACAGTAATATTGTTGAATGAAAAACATTCATGAAATGTTTCAGGAAACATTCCCGAAAGTTCTACAATGAATGTTCCCAGGATGTTTCTATATATATGTATTTGAAACATTATTTATGAAACATCTCTGGTGGAGAAAATTTATCGTTTCAAAAATATTCATGGAATGTACCAAGAAACATTCCTAAAGATCTAATCATATTGGGAATGTTTCCAGAATGTTTCAAGCATTTGTATTCGAAACATCATTCATGAAACAGTTTTGAGGGCAAATATCTTTGGTTTCACGAATATTTCTGAAACATTTCATGTAATACAACGAAAGAAATATTTATGAAATATTGCATGGAACATTCCTACAGGATATGATCATGGTAGAAATATTTCCAACATGTTTCAATTTGCGTATTCGACACATTATTTAGGAACATTACCATGAAACATTCCTGAGGGCGGACATCTCTAGTTTCTGGAATGTTTCTGGAACATGTAGGCAACTTTGAATGCAATGTTTCATGCATCAATACTACGTTTCTGGAACATTTCAGAAACAAAAAAATGTTTACTGGGAGGTTATCGGGCCACCCCTGTAACTTCTGCATTCGTCAACGGATTTTTCTGAAATTCGGTACAGTTATATAAGCAACTATTTCGGATTCGATCACATTAAAATCCAATATGGCGGACTTCCGGTTTTTCTGGAAATGCCAGCAATTTTGTTTTTTCAAATGGAGCACCCTGTATATTTTTACATATTCAAGTTCAACAGGTCAAAACAAGTGCAATCTTGATGTCAAATGTCATTTATTCCACAGCCTACCTAGTTGAAAAATTATTCTAACTGCAAGGAAATTCATAAACTAGTCGTTGATTTTTGAATGTATACAATTTGTTACTGCACCGAAAAACAAAAATGATATGTCATTTTGTTCCATTTGAAAAAAAAAAATTTTTGATCAAAAAGTGATGTGGCTGAATTGATTCCTGGATAAGTGACACAAAAAAACATTTTTCAGAAAAAAATATGTTCTTCTGTTATGTGTGACTCATTGTGAATAGTCTTGACCACATCTCATTTATCCACGAGGTAAAATGAAAAAACAATTTTAATTTAAATTTTTTCGAAAAATTGACATTTTAAATAAAGATTGCACTTGTTTCGACCTGTTGAACTTGAATAAGTAAAAATATACAGGGTGTTTCATTTGAAAAAATAAAGTTGCTGGCATTTCCAGAAATACCGGAAGTCCGCCATATTGGATTGTAATGTGATCAAATCCGAAATAATTGCTTATATAACTGTACCAAATTTCAGAAAGATCCGTTGACGAATGCAGAAGTTACAGGGGTGGCCCGATACCCTGTGTCACCCGGTATAGTGACCTATAAATGAATTATCGAAGGTAATACCACGAGTCCCTCAAATATTATCAGATAAAATTTGAAGGACGAGTTGAGTTTGGAAAGATTATATTTTTCACCGATTTGACAGACTCATTTCAGGAGACGAAGTAATTCTAAATACTTCCATTCTTGGCTCGCACGGATTATCTGTTGCGTCCTGTCGATAGACGCTAGTATCTGGTGTCATCACTGAACTATAACCTAATAATGTTGTTTGTATTGGATAGGCTCCGATACTACTGGATCGATTTGAAAAAATCTTTCACCATTAGAAGCCGACATCATCCGTGATGACCATAGGCTACTTTTTAGCGCGGGAAAATGCTTCATTCCTACGGAAAAGCGGGTAGAAATAGTTATCCTTCCGTACTTATCTGTTTCACACATCTTTAGTATTAGTATATTGAGCATCAGCCCTTCAAAACTCTACTAGTGACCTATGAATGAATTATCGAAGGAAATATCACGATTTTTGGATGTATGATAAATTGTGTCATACAGGACGTGAAAAAAAAAGTTCTGAAAATATTCGATTTGACCAGAGATGATGTCAATTATTAGCAATTTCCGAGGATTTTGATTTTTCATGCTCTTCTTTTGGATATTCAACATATATAATTCAATGTTCGACGTGGCAAATAGCCAGGAAAGTAGTTGTTTACTGTTGAATATTCAGAATATGTGCATATATTTATATGAAGGAGAATTCAAATTCTCTACTCCAGAAGATTTTGTTTTCAAATTCTTATCTTATCATCTCTGAGATGTTTTTGTGCTCGCTGGGGTGGCTGGTTCTGAATCCAGCATAATGATATTTTGATTCTTATAAACCACTTAGAAAATGCCCGTACAATGGGCGTGTACACCTTAGTAGAACTTTTATCTCAAACCATGTTTATAATGATCCTTTTATTCATAAATAATGATTGACGACATAATTCGATCGAAAAATTACCTGGAATGTTTCATTTTTGGACATAAACAATAGAACCTTCTGAAAACTGACCCTCTCATGACGTAGAAACCTCATCTCGCCATAGTTAAAAGAAAATACCAAACGCCCGACGGAGACTGAGGCAACAGATATATTAATTCTTTCAACTGTGATCTCGCGCTAATTCACTCTGTCAGAAATCATGTATCATTCATCTCTGTCTGGAATAGTCTTGTTTCAGTATTAAGGTTTTGACGTCACATCATCGCCTCGTTTTCTGAGGTCCGAAAAATCGGGGATTTCAATAATTTTTTATAAAACGTAGGGAGCTCACAGCAAGAAACGGTTTGCGGTGGTAAGCTAGTATGGGTAAGTTCTATCGAATTATGAAATAATTTTTTTTTGTGATATAAGCCCATTGTGAGGAGCGTAAGGGATACATAATTGAACCATACCAATATATCATAATAAAAAGAAATGACAATAATTCCCTAAATAATTTGTGTTTTATTCGAAATCAACATCGGTCTTTCAAATTTAACCACCCGATACATTGGTGTTCGTGCGTCCCCTGTACAGCTGCTTGGAGTGTTCCACAAATTCCATCAGATCCCTGGACATGGCGTATGGTCTCGACATACCGTCGTTCAGAAGACTATCCTCGCAGAAGCACATAAAGATCGTATCGATGATGGTCTGAAAAAGTCCAAAAACCTCGTCTAGTTCATTCAATTCACTAGAATATCGTGTTTCCCAAATTCGCTCCTCGCCATTGGGAATTGAGAAAGTCCAATCGTAATTCAGAATCCGTCGAGAAATCTTGACTAGTAGTCCAATAAATGAAGGAGGAAAAAAGGCAAAGTTAACGTTAATTACGCACTATTTTCATCTTCCGGTTGGAAGTAGCTTTTGGTACCTCATTAAACATGAGACAAAGTTTGACTGGAAAACGCGTGCGATGGCGGAGAAAATGGCCCCAAAAGACCAGGAAAATAGGTTTTCAGCCAATATCTCCTAAAATATGGCAGTCAGAGATTTGATTTTAGGTTCAGATAAAAATTGAGGTTCAGTTAATTTTCTACAAAAATGGTCCTTATCATTTTTCTCGAAAATTTGCCCGGTTTCGAGAAAAACGGCACGAAGCGCACCTCGAATAATGAGCTTCTGTGTTGTATGCCGGAGAGCACAGTCCGTGTATTTACACATCGGCGGGGGGACAAATTATTCAATAACTTTGTTGAAAATGCATATTTTCTCATGATTCAAAGTTCATGTGAAAGACGAATTCTGCTGCTATCATACCCTGCGTGGCCGCATGGTTTGTAGCAGACGACCCGAGCGCCACGTAGAGCACACACGCGGCGAACGACGGAGGAACGAAAGTAATAAATTATAGCGTGTACATTTAGATATACTGGTTTTTCCCGGGATATCAAAGGTATGACTTATATACATCGATGGAAAGGTGGAAATTTCCCCGTTACACTGGTTAAGGTGTTAAAATGTTAGAAATAAAGAGCACGGAGAAAAAAAACACCGAAAAAAAAGTGCGTTTTTTCCTTGACCCCGTTTTTTTTAATTTTATTGAAAAATGGACGACTTCGTCTAAAAAAGTAATTGCACAATCGAAAAGTACACCTTTTTAGCTTTCAAATGATGTATCATAGAAAACAATCGGATCATTATTACATTTTTAATTGATGGTTGTTCACAAAATTTCCCCGCGCTCCGAAAACAGCAAAAAATTGGGATTCAATAAACAAAGATTAAATGAAAATTAAAAAAAATTAGGGTGTACAAATTTCAGGGATGACAAAGGACCTTATGAGGACCCATAATCAAGAAAATTTTGAGTAAATTAGTGCAATACAAAAAAATAGGAATAAATTCCTGGCGAGGTCAAAATTGACCGGGAGCAGAAAGTTTGACCCATGTTCCGATATAGCCAAAAGAGTCAAGCGTGACTCAATTCACAGGGTATGATAGCAGCAGAATTCCTCTTTCACATGAACTTTGAATCATGAGAAAATATGAATTTTTAACAAAGTTATTGAATAATTTGTCCCCCCGCCGATGTGTAAATACACGGACTGTGCTCTCCGGCATACAACAGAAGCTCATTATTCGAGGTGCGCTTCGTGCCGTTTTTCTCAAAACCGGGCAAATTCGAGAAAAATGATAAGGACCATTTTTGTAGAAAATTAACTGAACTTTGATTTTTATCTGAACTGATAATCTCTAACTGCCATATTTTAGGAGATATTGGCTAAAAACCTATTTTCCTGGTCTTTTGGGGCCATTTTCTCCGCCATCGCACGCGTTTTCCAGTCAAACTTTGTCTCATGTTTAATGAGGTACCAAAAGCTACTTCCAACCAGAAGATGAAAATAGTGTGTAATCAACGTTAAATTTTTCCCTTTATTTATTGGACTATAGCTTCTGTTTTTGGATGTATGATGAATTTCTGAGTTATATGGAAAAGTGGAACCTTTGGCTTGATAATACACTACACTGTTGTATCACTAACCATCAAGACGATTTTTATACGCCTCTTCAGAAGAAGATTATATAGATTTCCATTAAATATTAGTTACATATACAGGGTGGGGCATTAGTGCGTCAGAGCTCGATTGCTCGGAGTTCCATGATAGCTAGAAACTCGATTCAAAAACGAGTGTGAATGAGACAACAAGATCCATAACTAGAAATTATTGCCGCATATACACGAGGCACCAGAAAACATCTACAGGGTCAGGATCACTTTTTTGAAATGCAATTCCCTATAGATTAATAAATTTTTTTAAGCATTCCTGTGACCTCCATCCACTCCTATAATGTTGTTGACTATTTCTCGATCATCATAAAATTATTTTTTTTTTGTCAAAATAATGTCATCTGCAGATGTAATGATAACTGTAGTCACAATTATGAAATTCAAGAGAGAATAATCATAATATCATTTTATGGAAATATGCGTGATATTTCTGTAGAATATTCATGCCATCAAATTACACAGGGTGGCTAAAAATTATTTTTCAATTCAGAAGTTCTGGAAGTGATTTTTCTCTAGTTTTTCAAATGGAACACCCCATATATTTTTAGAAATAGCTGCTGCGTGTTTCCTCACAGGTGGTTTATATTATGTGTCTGATGATGGCCGAATGCCGAAACTAGTTACACGTCTCATGTAATAAAATTTGTCGTGATCGATCGACTTTGTTTTTTTTTGTATTTTTCCTTTGAGAAATTCTGCACCTCTTTGAGAAGATGGATGGTTTCCACGACCTACTTCAAGTATCTAACATTGATATTAAACATTTTTTTACAAGTGGATATACAGGGTGTTTCATAATATATGCGCAGAACTTCAGGATCTGATTGCTCGTCCAAATATATGAAAATAAGTTTTTATCTACTTACCCTCTGGAATGCATCATTTTCGAGATACAGGGTGTTGAAATTTGAGAAAAAAAAACAGCAAATCATACTCTGTTGAATTAATAATTGTTGGAAATGTCCGCGGTTGAAAATTACCATGATTTTCAACATAAAAGTTGATTTTTTCTTATCATATACATCCAAACACAAATACCCGATAAGAGTGGTTATGTCAACAAGATTTCAGTTCGTTTTAGTTTTAGTTATATTATAGGGAGATCAAAATTGTGTATATCAGGAAGAATGGCTGAAAGAATAACTGGACTTACTGGTGGTAGATTTACTCTCATGGTTTTGACAAACTTTGTATTTTAATAATCATTGTTTATGTTCTAAAATTACTAAAATGCAAATTTCGTCAAAACCATGAGAGCAATCGAGTCTTATCAAAAGTACCTTTTTTAAAGTAAATGAGTTGCGCAATCTAAATTTCATACTCAAACTCCTTTTCTTTCATTGGCGTAGAATTTTTAAAGGTACAATTATTTAAAAATCAAGTTCTGCGCCTATGTATTAATATCGGACGAAATTTTAACACAATTTTTTTTGACACATAAAACTCTATCAATATACTTAATTTCAGCAAAATCGCATATGCCGTTTTAAATTTATATGGGAAAAACGATTTAAAAATTAAAACTTCAAGGCCCTCTGGAGCCCAAACGATGCAACTTCGTACTAAGGTAATTTTACTTAAATCGACTAATTTTGGTCTGAGGAATATGTGGTATGACCTTTTATAGACACCCTGTATATATGTATATATATATCCATTTTTTTGTGTTTATAAATATTTCTGAGAATATTCCTTTTCAATTGATTTTTCTCGATAACGGTCAAATTTAGAGCCTCTGACCAAGAATAACTTATTTGTGTAGGAAATTTTAGCAGTTCAAAGGGGTTGCTCAAAACTGTACTTTTTCCAGTGGCGTAGAAGTTGGGGAGGAAAACACTCACCACCACTTCAAAATCTTCACCAATTATGACCTAAAAATGAAGAAAATCCGCACAAAACATAACTTATTATGAGTACCAATGCTCACAAAAGCTGTTTTCACATCATGGAGTCCTGCGCATATATTATGAAACACCCTGTAGATCTTGTTATATAGGGAAGTGATAATAATAATTATAATAATAATTATAAATAACTTTTTACCTCGAATATTGAGAAGAAAGTGACGGCAATTGCTATATACACAATGAGGACAATGACAAAAACTGCAAAGGCATAAATTATGTCATAATCATTTTTCACAGCACCCTGAAAAAATATCAAACATTATAACATTTTATCTGTTGATCAATTGTTTTGTAAAACATCAACAATATACATGAGAAAACATTTTCAAAACGATAAATATGTAAAACATAAATATGACACCAATTTCAATGCAACAATATGCTATTCATGTAAGTAAAAAAATTTACATTAATTTGCTTCCTTCTTTGACAACAATTTGTTTTTTTTATACAAGAAAAAAATTAAATCGTGGTTGATTTTGGAAATTTGATTATATAATAAAATACTTACGCAACATATCAAGTTTTTATATGTAGTTATTTTTAGATAATATAAAATATAGCTATTTATGCTATTGAGTGCTAAAAGTGACATTTTATTTTGTGAGAAGATCCCTTCGAACAAAAGAAAAAACACTTTTAGCACATATATCATACACTATTTTTTCTACAAACACCATTAAAAGTCCAAATTAACGCATAACTATTTTACATTACCTATTAATTGATTAAATAACAGCCTCGAGATCAGTTTTGAATCCAATTCAATCTAATCTATTCATGAAACAAGTTACCAAGGTAAACAAAAACTGAATTTGTGATTTATCTTCCTTGACTTATAACATCAATAAATCACGAATTATTCTTTCTCGTTTCTTCGTTCCTCGATGGAAAGTGCCCAAGAAAATGAATTTCTTCCGCCGCAAATTGAAGAAGCTGCCAATAAAGCTGTTTTTGAATTATTGCCTAGTAAGTCGAAGCGACAATACGAGTTTTCATACGAACGTTTCTTGAAATGGTGTGATCAGAAAAATGTCAGTGGAAAGGAGGCCAGTGAAAAAGTGCTTCTTGCATACTTTGAAGAAAAGTCCAAAATATGGAAATCGTCAACGCTTTGGTCGAATTACTCTATGTTAAAGTCGATGATGAACATAAATGATCATGACATAAGCAGATATCACAAGCTTGTGGCTTTTTTGAAGCAAAAGGGTGAAGGATATCGACCGAAAAAGTCAAAAGTATTGACAAGAGAACAAATCGACAAATTTCTCGCAGAAGCCCTAGATGAAATATATCTAATGCAGAAAGTTGCTGCGATTTTTGGTGTTTTTGGAGCCTGTCGTCGAGAAGAACTGTGCGATTTGACATTGAATAATATCGAGGATTCCGGAACTTCACTAGTTGTGCATATACCATACACAAAAACTAATGTGCATGTTCTAAGTGGTTCATTGTATATTAACTACTACAAAAAGTACATAGTCCTTCGTCCAGTGGGTATCAATCATTCTAGAGTTTTTATAAAATGCATTAAAAATAAATGTGCCAGGACTCCAGTTGGAATCAACACATTTGGTAAGATGCCTGCCAAAATTGCCGAATTTCTTAATTTGCCTGATTCCCATCTATATACTGGACGACATTGTTTTTCCGACGTTGCTCAGCTAGTTTGTTGGCGGACTCTGGTGCTAGTCTTACTACAATTAAAATACATGGTGGATGGAAGTCTAGTACAGTAGCAGAGGGTTATATAGAAGACTCGCTACAAAGGAAACAGAACATTGCAGATCAAATTTTGTCGAAAACTTCGGCAGTTAATATTGCTTTCTGCCGTGGTACAAGCTTCACGAAAATAAATTCTGTCACATCTACCAATGAGATACTGGCCATGGAGTTTCGTATTATAATTGTAGTTTCGCTAATTGTACTTTTAATTGAATAAACACTTCATTTTGAATCATGTTTACATATTATATTCTCACTAGTGCTAAAAGTGATTTACTTTTAACACCAGTGTCAAAAACTGACATTTTAGACACTGACAGCATGCGTCAAAAATTATACTTTTACTGACGTTTGTAGAAAAACGTATTTATTTTGTTAATTGCTCTCAATGAGAAAATGAATTTTATATAGTTACTCAGTGGAAGGATACAAAAACTACATGATCATGGACAAGTTTTCAACGTTTTTGATCATGTTTTTATTATATAAAAAAAATATTATTAATATAGTATACTGATATATACAGTGCGTTCATAAAGTGTGGAAACGCTCCATTATCTTACGATATAATTATTTTCAGAGGTAAAGCTCGGACAGATCGATTTTGTATTTCAGTCTTCCATCTTTTTTTGCAAAAAAATAATTTTTTCCCCCACCACCTTACAAGATATGACGTCATCGATATTTTTTTTAAACTGAAAGGGTATATTTTTATATCAAAAATTGAAAGCCCATATTTTTCTGAGTTCAACCATACCACATACGTCATATCTTACACTTCAATTTACAGTATACTGAGTATAAAGGAAACCAGTGTTCATATTTCTCAACATTCATTTAATTATTTATTTGCAATGAAAATATCATAAGAAGTAGTGACAATAAACAGATTTGTTATTCGTTTATTTTCACTACTTCTTATGATATTTTCATTGCAAATAAATAATTAAATGAATGTTGAGAAATATGAACACTGGTTTCTTTTATACTCAGTATACTGTAACTTGAAGTGTAAGATATGACGTCTGTGGTATGGTTGAACTCAGAAAAATATGGGCTTTCAATTTTTGATATAAAAATATACCCTTTCAGTTTAAAAAAAATATCGATGACGTCATATCTTGTAAGGTGGTGGGGGAAAAAATTATTTTTTTGTAAAAAAAGATGAAAGACTGAAATACAAAATCGACCTGTCCGAGCTTTACCTCTGAAAATAATTATATCGTAAGATAATGGAGCGTTTCCACACTTTATGAGCGCACTGTATGTTATTTTGAAAATGAATAAAAAATGAAATGAAATTAAAATAAATATATGAAATTCATATTATTCACATCACATCTGATAGAGGATTTTAAAAGCTACAGACCTGACAAGTGGCTGTAGAGTATTACTATTGTGTGCTTTTTTTAACACAACACAGAAACACCGATATATATCTGGAAAACTGAATTCTCCTATCGGTGATACAAAAAAAAAATTTAATTATGTAAACATACCCACATGACCCCGGCAGTAATTAGCAAAGATATCAAAACGATCAGAAGCTGAGCCATTCCCAATACGAAACCTCCAATGTAGTTGACGGAAGCGATGTTGACAACGTTGTGGAAGATGATCTTTGCTGCTCTCTTGCCAGATTTGAAAAACGGCTTTCCGTGCATTGCTGAAAATATGCATCATAGTCCAATAAATAAAGGGAAAAAGTTAACATTCATCACAGGCCGGGATTGGCGCAGTGGAAGAGCGTCCGTCTCACGACCGCAAGGTCGTGGGTTCGATTTCCAGCACGGGCAAGGAACTTTTTTCAATATTTTATTTACGAATTAAATATTGTAAAGTTTCGGAGCATCGGCTGGGGATAGTCCTGCACGATTCGCTGTTGCGTTCCAATTAACAGTGCTGCTCCTAAAGTGGCGCATGGAGTTAGTAACAAAGCCTACACAGAACACGCAGAAAGATATGATGATGTGGTTGTGAGCGTCAGAGAAGAAGTAGGACGGTGTATGTAGGTGGGTGTGGAAAAACTACCAGCTGAGCGTTTGAGCGGGCCAGCTGCTTAAGTAAACCTCGGTCTCGGGGGTTAACGATGATAGTTAGCAGGCCTGCCACTGCGCATATGGTAGTGAGTACATTACTAGCCTACAAAACACAGCTGAAAAACTCTGAAAGAGAGCTGATGGGCGGTGCCTGAAAAGGATGTTAGCCAGCTCTCTTAAGCGAACCACATCAGTCATTGTAAACACTTGGGGTTGGCAAAAAGGTCCCATTGGGGACTAGTTGCTGACGTGGAAACGTCCCCCACCAGTACCAGTACCAGTACCAGTAACATTCATCACGCACTATTTTCATCTTCCGGTTGGAAGTAGCTTTTGGTATAGTATATCCAATATCAATTGCAGAATATCCCGCACTGTGCGGCGTCGGCGTGTTTGAAGTTTCCTTTGAACTGACTGCAGGTGCGGCATGAGACTCAGCAATTGTTTTTGGATAAACTTTACCTCATTAAACATGAGACAAAGTTTGACTGGAAAACGCGTGCGATGGCGGAGAAAATGGCCCCAAAAGACCAGGAAAATAGGTTTTTAGCCAATATCTCCTAAAATATGGCAGTTAGAGATTATCAGTTCAGATAAAAATCAAAGTTCAGTTAATTTTCTACAAAAATGGTCCTTATCATTTTTCTCGAAAATTTGCCCGGTTTCGAGAAAAACGGCACGAAGCGCACCTCGAATAATGAGCTTCTGTGTTGTATGCCGGAGAGCACAGTCCGTGTATTTACACATCGGCGGGGGGACAAATTATTCAATAACTTTGTTAAAAATGCATATTTTCTCATGATTCAAAGTTCATGTGAAAGAGGAATTCTGCTGCTATCATACCCTGCGTGGCCGCATGGTTTGTAGCAGACGACCCGAGCGCCACGTTAAGCACACACGCGGCGAAATACTGTGAATTTCCTTTTTTTTTCACTGTTTTTTCCCCTTCTTGTTCACTATAATATGACTGTTATCCCAGACAGCACTGGATATTCCTAGAATATTCTCTAAATATGCTAAAAAGGAGGAGTATATTCCGAATATTCATCGATTATTCCTAGAATATATACATGCCTCTGGAACATCTAGAAGGAATATTTCAAAGTGATGTTCAGGGAATATTCAGGTATGAATTTTCCAAGAATATTCCCAAATGAATATTATTTCTTGTATATTCATGAAATATTCCCAACTGAATGTTCCGTGGAGTATATTCATGAAATATTCTCAATTGAATATTCTGTGCGGTATATTCATGAAATATTCTCAACTGAATATTCTGTGGTGTATATTCATGAAATATTCCATGAATATTCCTATGTTTCTCAACACATAAATACCCATCATTATTTCAGAGTTGTGAGTATCGAACATCAAAATTAGATGTGAAGGGATTTTGAAACAAAAAGTGTTTATGATCCGATTTCGAACAACGCTCTCACAAGAAATTGATATGTACAACATCATTCAATTCGATTACTGGCCTAGTGGTCAAGGCGTTGGTCTGATAGTCTTGAGGTCACGAGTTTGATCCCTACTATATAGGGTCACTTTTTTTATTTTAGTATATGTTTATTCAACATGGAATATTCTTTTGGATATCTTCTATGAATATCTGAGGAATTCCCATTCGCATATTTAGAGAATATTCCACAGATATTCCGGAATATTCCAGATTATTTCTAGAATATTCCAATATTCCAAAAGGAATATGATAGGGAGATTCATGGAATATCTGGTGCTGTCTGGGATTTTGAGATATCTAAATGATATGTAAGTTTTGTTCACTATTTGTGATTCCAATTATACAACAGTCGATAATACTTCATGAATGATCTCTTATACCAGGAATTACTGTCTGATTATTCATGCCATTCCTACTCGAAAATTAATTATACTTTATATATTATTTGTATGAAATGTATCAATGAAGAAGGGAATGTAATTCAATGACTGGAATAAATAAATAAATAAATAATCATAGTATAGGTCCTAAAACAGAGCCTTGTGGGACACCCTTATTGATTAATAGCTTATTTGACACAGAGTTGGTTGATTTTGTATTGATTGTCCTATTTTCAAGATATGAATTCAAAATATTTCTCACAGTGCCTCTAAGTCCCATTGTTTCTAAGTTTTTTAGTTGTATGATCAACTGTGTCAGAAGCCTTTTTGAGATCAATAAAAACAGGTACCACATAATTTCCTCTCTGGATTGATTCTATCACTTGTAATACTCTGCTGCTTGTGTTCCACTGTTTTCTTGAAAACCAAATTGATTAGAATCAAAGCTATATTTTTTGTTGATGAATTCTACAATGCGTGTTTTGAGAATGTTTTCAAAAATTTTATAAATTATGCTAATTAAAGCTATTGGTCTATAGTTAGTTGGATCCTGAGCATTTCCATTTTAATGATGTAAGCTTTTCCCGCTCAAAGATATGTTGCCGGTGCTGGTTCTAGGACATTAATATAAGGAATAAAACTTTTCTGTATATGATGATACCTGTCAAGATGTAGGAGTTTTTGGACAAGAACCTGAGGAAGGATTCGATGGAGCCTGTGAAACAGCCAACGCACGATCTGATATTCTTGTACTTGGTTACAGAGGAAAGCAGACCACGAACAATCGCTATAATAGTGATGATCATAGAACCGAAAAAGATGCTGCCAAGATGGAAACGGAAAACAATGGCCGCACTTCTTATTATAGGACTGTCCAAGTTATGCTTATTTCTGAAAAAAAAAAACGTTATGATTAGTTGAACTTATACAGATTGACCCATTTGAAAGCGGGCCACGCTCATACATTTCTTTTTTCCCCCACTAGCTGTAGAACCTACCATTATTTTTTTTATTTTTTTTTATCGCTTTGAGCGCACGAGAGGGAATCCCTATAATGTTCAAAGAACATCGTGCGTTCCTAGGGAGGATAGGGACAGGAGGTAGGTATTGGAATTTTTTTTGAACTTTTGGAGATTATATGTTGTTGGGAATACTTCCACAGGCAATGAATTCCAGAGCCTAGCCGTTCTATGGATGAAGGAGTCTTGATAAAGTGCTGTTCGACATCTTTCGAGGTTGACAACGAAAGGATGTGCTGACTGGGCTTGTCTAGTTCGTCTGGCTGGTATTGCAAGTGAAGAGATGATAGCAGAGATTTCCGAAGCACATTTCCCGTGGAAGTATCGATTGAAAAGTGAAAGGTCGCCGACCTTTCTACGGTGTTCCAATGATGTCAAAGAGTGAGTGAGTGTGGCGTCACCCACCAGGCGAATGGCTCTTCTCTGGATGGCATCTAAGAGCATCAGCGTATGTTTTGGTGCTGAACCCCATATGTGGGAACAGTATTCTAGAACAGGCCGTATCTGCGCTTTGTAGATCATGAGAAGCTGTTGAGGTGTAAAGTAGCTTTTCGCACGGAACAAGAATCCGAGTTTTTGTGAAGCAGCTTTTGCGATGGATCTGACATGATTATCCCATGAAAGAGTGTTGCTGATGGAAATACCGAGCATAGATATGGTGGGCTTGGTGGGGATGGTGGAGCCAGACATTACAATATCGGGCATACTGAGTTCCGCCTTTCTAGAGAAAATGCAGGCTTGAGTTTTGGTGGCGTTGAATTCAACTAGGTTGTTTGTTCCCCAGGCTGTGATTTCAGCAAGATTTTCATTGACAGCATTGACCTGCCTGCGCCGTGAGTTCTCAGTTTCCTGGGAAGAAATGGGAATTCTGGAAGAGAACGCAGAATGGAGGGTACGATCATCTGCAAAGCTGTGGATGGGGCGAGTTGTTACTCCCAACAGATCATTGATATGAAGAAGGAATAATGTTGGTGCAGCTGGTGCCAAAATTAATCCCTGTGGAACGCCGGAATTGATGCCAATGGTATCAGACGATACACCGTCCACCATCACGTGAAGCGATCGGCCTGAAAGAAAACTCGATAAGAGATGGCATAGCTTGACATATGCTGTCATGGTTATGCCATTGATGAAATAAACCTCTGGTGTACGCACTTCAATCCTTTCCTGTTTTACAATTCCTTGATTTCCGCCTACTTCGATGAACATAACATGGCGTGGGTAAATGTCGCTAAATTTAGTCTGGTGCCGTACCAAAATTACAGGCATCAATGTGACAATTGTGACCGAACTGTGACCAATGAAGATAGGGAATACATTTTGCGATTTAGCCGCATCAAGGTTGGTAGAACTGATGTTGATCATAAGTTCTAAGAATCACGCCATCTAACATTCGATATGTGAACCCCACGTCATCGTCTGAAATTCAATTGTTCATATCAAGAACCAGTCTGACGAAACAAATGAAGAGTGAGCGCACCAGAGGTTTATTTCATCAATGTTATGGCTATTATTTTGATTAGAATTGAAGGGAAGTGCATTCATAGTGACAAAAGGTCCATATTTCAGATTCACGAACGATAATGATTGAAATATATTGCATGTGGTGAAAAAAATTTAATATACACCATGGTAGTAAAGAATTGGTTGAATTTACCAAATATTGTGAACTTAATCTATTGAAAATTAATGTAAATAAGTGTAGAATTATGCGTTTTTATAAAGTACATGTACCAACTACACTCAGTTCCAAAAAAAGTGACGCACTTGATATTTGACCTATCTTCTTAAAAAAAATGTAGGCCGATTTTTATTATTTTTTATTTGTTGGTAGGTAATGCATTTGTCTTTAGAAAAAAAATAAAGAGGTGGAAATTTTTTCAAAGCCTCCTTGATGGTGGTGGAATAACTCGAACCATGATTTATTCTTAATTTTTGACTCACCCTGTGTGTTAATTGAGTGATGGCATAGAAAGCGCTTACACCCTATACGAAAGAGGCTTCTTTTGCGAGCATTTTGTTTTTTAATTCATTGTTTTATCTCTAAAATTTTCCGAATCATAGCTTTTTTTAAATTTATTGAAGGATCAGAGTACTCAAAATTTGATTGGGTTGTGCTGTGGTAGTATGGTTTGCGAAATTATAAAGTTTAAGCTAAATATCGTTGCAACAAACATAAAGTTTGTGATTCCCTAAAAGAATCAAAATCCAAGTTAATTACACAAATATGCTTGAATTTGAACAAAGGTATGATCAACTGATTTTGTTATGATCAACTTATGGAAGTGTCTAGGGTGAATTCAAAAAAATTTACAAATTGGGATATTATCAATGAAAAGAATTTTAAAACTCAAATATGTATCAGGAGGCCATGTTTTTGGTATTTTGGCATAACTTTCAATTGTAAACCACTTTTCTCATTCACATTTTGCTGTATTTTCTGAAATAAGGGTACTTTACTCTTGAACAATTTTTATATTTTTTGACCTACCCTGTATGCTGTTTGACTTGCAACCATTTTGAGTGCACCTAAAATGATCACACTGAACATGCACCAACTCTCGGCACTATCTGTATTTTGGTTGTGCAATTCATTAAAAAGATTCCCATATGTTGCACACTTAAATGACCACACTGTGTACACAGCTTGTTGGATTCCGAGATATACAGTGTGTCAAAGTTTTTTAGTTTTCTCCTACTTTTCGGGTATGTTAATAATTCCAATAAAACTTGCAGTTATACTTCTGTTTCACATGATAATATATAAGTATCCATGGTTTAGAGGTCTGGGAAAAATGGACGTCGACAGGACGTCCCTGCAACGTCATGAAACTAACGTCTTCTTTTACTCATCTAAGTGACGTTCACTCGACGTCGAAACGATGACGTAATTATCACGTCATAGAAAGTACGTCATAGTGACGTCATAAATTGGTGTGTGACGTCTCTGACGGAAAATCACCAATTAGGGACGTCACAGTGACGTGATCATTCGTCATCTGGTTGCCTGGCACATGCTCTGTGCTTTACTGTTCCCGGCGAGCACAAACATCCCTGGGATGTTTTGAAAATGTTGGCATGAAGATGTTATTTTGAGACGTAATATGCACTGACCAAAGAGGTCTTTGAAGGATATTGAAGTATTGTTTTTGTTCTTCTGTGGCATTTCTTTGTTTGCCTACTGAGAGGTATCCCTGGGATGTTTTGGGATGTTTTAGAAATGTAGGCATGAGGATGTTTTTTTTGAGGCGTAATATGCACTTCCCAAAGAGGTCTTAGAAGGATATTGAAAGTATCGTTTTTGTTCTTTTGTGCCCTTTCTTTGTTTGCCCCACCACAACGTCTCATGCTTACGTCAAAATACGATGAATTCTGATTTGTTTTCGATTTTGTTCTTCTTGTTCGCAATTGGCATTCGCGTTTGCAGCGTGTCACGCTTACATCACGCTGCTAACGAACAGAAAGGAATTTGGTGAAGTTTATTGTGTTAGAAGACTTATTTAGTTTGTAATAATCACCATCAGATGCAAGATGTGTTGTTCGGTGCCTCAGTGTAATCAATATATAAAAGTACGAATTCATCAACACACAGCTTCTCCGCAGTTGCAGAATTATGCATTGTGGAGAACATTTCAAAAATTGGGAAACCTATTTCCAATTATATGTCTGTGTGTAGTAAGCACTACTCAGAAACAGATTAAGAAGGTAATTTCATATCAAGAAAATATTCTTATGTTCAATCTATTTTCAATGCATTTTTTCATTCAAGGGAAATGGAATCCTAATGCAAAAGTTCATTCTGTTGTGTCCATGAAAAGGCTTTAAAAAGAACTATGGAGAAGGTAGTTTTGTGACATATCAAGGACATCTCGATAATTGCCGCCTGCGGCGGACATTGGCTGTTCTATAATAGTTCTATTCATGTGTAAACAGAACATCGCAGTGGAGGTTCAATGTCTCGAAATCTCGTACTTTTAACATCTCTGAGATGTTTTTGTGCTCGCTGGGACGCAGCCTGTACATATCTCCAAAAGTAGAAAATCCTGGAAATCATTAGATGGGTACTGATGACAAAATTCTGACTCACTGGGAGAAATACCAAGTGGTGACAGCTCCTGCGATGACCATGTACTGGATGCCGATGACGATTTGAACTCCCCAGAAGGCCATCCAAGAGTTGAAGATTAAAGTGAAGACCATAGCCCCGTTCATTTGGTACTCGTAGAAATTGCGTATTAATGGTGTCAGGATACCCGAAGAGGACATGTAGAAGTTGGTCGTGATCAGGAGGGCGACGATGATAACTTCCGAAAAGAAGGCCTGCAAATAGTGCCAAGAATGGGTCGAAACTATAATAATTTTATTGGGAATATTTGAAATTTCCATTTCATTTAAGAACAGTACAATAACCTAGTCTAGATCATATTCTTAGAATTATTTAGCTTACAGGATATCAGTAGAGAGAATTACGATATTCAAAGGAAATTATAGTTCGGATTTCAATCCTATTATTATTGAAGTAAAGTCGCTGACGGGGAGAAACTGCTGGTTTTGGATTCTTCCTAATCGAGGTGAATACACTAGTAAAACCGACATGAAGAAGTATTAGAGACAGTTGTGTTTCGGACAGTGGACCGTAATGTATAGTTTTTTCAAATTCGCTAACAAAAAAGTGAATCTTGAACATTTTTGCATCATGTCTAAACTTCGTGAGTGGCAGTTCCAATCCTCCAACGAAAAGCGAGCCTTTCTGTAAGTACGTTTTTTAATATTACTAGTTTTAGTTTTCTTGTTTTGTTTTTATTTTAGTTGGATGTATCTTGCTGGCAAATTGGTCAATTAATCTCATGTCCGAATTGTTTTTCAATAAAGATGAATAAATTTGCAAAGTGGAGTTGAATTCTTTGATTATAATTTTCATAAAACCTCTTGCAAGCGAGTAAGTTCGAGTAACGATTGTGGGGGTTAGAACCCACTCGTGACATTATGGTGGAGGCGCCCTGCTCTTTCTTGAATGTTAATTCTTCCAAATTAACCTGATTTTAGTTGAAGTAAGTTTTTATGTGTTGTAATTCGATCAACAGCAAGATACTCCACACCAATTTCAAATCAAAACAAAATGGCAACTGACACAAAATTAGTATATTGTGCAACAAGTGAGAAAAGAGCTTTTCCCCACATGTTGCACACTATACTTTTTCTACAACTGCACTTATTCGTCCGAATCCGAGCACTGATGAGAACTACCCTGAATACGAATTTGAAAATCTCCTTCTGACAGTTGTGACAACTATTCAAAGCTGAACAGCAGCCAAGTTTTGGTCGATTTTTGTTGATTTTCCATGGAAATGTATGTGGTGTTGGCAAAGTGCCGTGAGAAAAAATATTTCTCACAGTATAAGCAATACATGGTTTTGAAACTAAGTTAGCCATGAGAAATGCGCTACTTTTCATAGCAGTAGTAGAAAATAGTTAGTTGTTTTACTAGGCAGAAAAGTAGTAGTCAATCTACATTTGTTGCCGAGTGAAACATTGAATTTTTTCTCCAAATGATATAAAGCCAATTTTGTTTGATTTTTTTATTGAAAACTCCATCATTTTGTGTTCACCCAATGTCAGTGTCAATTTTGATTACTAATTTCATTAGAATTTTTCGGAAAACGCTGACCGAGCAATTCGAATAAAAAAAAATCGATTGATCCCATCCAAAGCTATTACGGTTCGAAAACAAACAAAATATTCCCTTGTCTCACTTCAAATGTGGAGCAGTTTACTTGATGAGCTTCCCCAAATTGATATTAAATATTGTGATTTTGAGTAAATCAGACAGAAATATATATTCTTCAAATATCTTATTATCATATCAATTTTCATATCATCAACTTATTTCATAAAATTTTTTAGAAGAATAGATTATTACAGTATCATCTGCAAATAACTTCAGATCTTCTTTTAGTTTCAAAGATTATATTGAATTGATGTTAATTAAGAATAAAATTGGACCTAGAACGGAACCTTGCGGTACCCCACATTTGATCTCCCTTATGGAGCTACAAATATTATTGACTCCAAAATTCTGCTTTCTATTTTCCAGATAATTTCTTAACCAATCAAATATTTTTCCTATGATACCTATTATTGTTAAGCCAATAAATCTTTGAATTCCTATACTGATGAGTAGAAGTGCCCTTATATGAATACTCACTATAATTGGAGTGAAAAAGATTAGTGGCATACTGAAAGCAGCTTTGGTGGTTTCCTTCAGCAGCTGAATGACCAATTTAATTTTTTTGTGCAGGAAGACTAGAATACAAATCAGGACCAGCAAGCATATCTTGAATAAAATGTTGAAGACAAATAAACCTATGCTGATTCCTATAGGCATGGTTCCAACCGTGAAGACGCAGAAAATCCTTAAAAAAAAAACAATACTTTTGTGAGTGACATTAACATGAAACCTAGTAGCAGAATTAGTGTAAGGAAGCTATATAATAATACAATTATTGTTAAAACTAAACACCTCCTGTTAGTGTTCTAAGTAATAATAATAATAACATTTATTTGTAATACATTGCTACAATTTTTTTTTATATCGCTTGGAGCGCACGAAAGGGAATCCCTATAATGTTCAAAGAATATCGTGCGTTCCTAGGGAGGATAGAGATAGGAGGTAGGTATTGGAATTTTTTTTGAACTTCTGGAGATTATATGTTGTTGGAAATACTTCCTCAGGCAATGAATTCCAGAGCCTAGCCATTCTACGGATGAAGGAGTTTTGATAAAGTGTTGTTCGACATCTTTCGAGGTTGACAACGAGAAGATGTGCTGACTGGGCTTGTCTAGTTCGTCTGGCTGGTATTGCAAGTGAAGAGATGATAGCAGAGATTTCCGAAGCACATTTCCCGTGGAAGTATCGATTGAAAAGTGAAAGGTCGCCGACCTTTCTACGGTGTTCCAATGATGTCAAAGAGTGAGTGAGTGTGGCGTCACCCACCAGGCGAATGGCTCCTCTCTGGATGGAATCTAAGAGCATCAGCGTATGTTTTGGTGCTGAACCCCATATGTGGGAACAGTATTCTAGAACAGGCCGTATCTGCGCTTTGTAGATCATAAGAAGCTGTTGAGGTGTAAAGTAGCTTTTCGCACGGAACAAGAATCCGAGTTTTTGTGAAGCAGCTTTTGCGATGGATCTGACATGATTATCCCATGAAAGAGTGTTGCTGATGTGTAATGATATGATAAGTTGATTTGGGATAAATTTTGTATATATAATAAGTATAAAATTGGACCTAAAACCTAATTTAATGGATAATAATTCATCAATAACAGATTTCATAATATTCTTCTGGAAATGAGATAACTCACCAAAGTCCAACAACACAAAATACTCCAAAAAGAACGACTCCTCCTAAAATACCCCATACAACTACAGCAGTTGCAGCTCTGAATAGAACCAACATACCCGAGGCCACACCTGGAACATGGAAATTTCATCGCCAATAAACTAAAGATTAAATTCCAGTCTCGTTCCAATTCAAAAAGTGACATTTATCCCAGGTTACCCTACATTTTCCAGGCTACACTACATTGAGAAAGATGATTAATGAGAATGAAAAAAAGATGAATTATGTACAGGGTGATTCACCATAAATGTCCCCCCTCTAGCTCACTTATTTTTGAACCGTTTTAAAAATTTGAAAGATGATCTAAAATCTACAGAGTAATAATTGATTTTTTTAAATGGAACGCCCTGTATTTTATTGTATTTTCAGATTCTTCCTGAAGAGCTGATTTCATCAATGCATCACACTTGGGGTCTAGCGGGAATGATTACAGAGACTGTTCAAAATCGACACTTTTCAACTTTAGGATTTTTTTGTGCCGAAACTATTCATTATTGGTCAAAACGGCTTCTATGTTCCCATCTCAACTTTTTATTTACTATCTAGTGACATTTAATTGGAACAATTACAGGGTGGTTCAAGATTAAGAATTCTGGTCACCCTGTATCTGTTCCAATTATTAAATGTCAGTAGATAGTAAATCAAAAGTTAAGAAACGAACATGAAAACCGTTTTGACCGATAATGAATAGTTTCGTCACAAAAAAATCCTAAAGTTGAAAAATCTCGATTTTGAACACCCTATATCTCTGTAATCAGTCCCGCTAGACCCCAAGTGTGATGCATTGATCAAATCAGCTCTCCAGGAAGAATCTAAAAATACAATGAAAAATAGGGTGTTCGATTTAAAAAAATCAAATAGTACCCTGTATATCGTTTGTTCCGAGCACCCTGTATTTTCTGATCTAGCGGAAAAAAACTTTATCGAAAATCATTCAAGATGATATTTCAAATTTTAAAATCGTTTCAAAAATTATATATTTCTCAAATTGAAAAGTACAGTTGATGCAAGGTAACAATGTACAATAATAAGAGAAAACGTCAATAAAACCGTATACAGGGTAACTCACGGTCGATGGTACGTTAGACGTTTATGGAGAACGGGACATAGTATCATTCTGAAATTTTGGTTACTCACGTAGTTGCTCTTGGTCTATCGATCTAAAATATTTTCAGCTCTGCGGCGTTGCCGCTTCTATCGAAAAGAAGCAACAACTTTGTTATTTTAAATGGAACACCCTGTATTTTATTGCATTTTCAGATTCTCTCTGAAGAGCTGATTTCATCGATGTATCACACTTGGGGTCTAGCGGAAATGATTACAGAGATATAGGGTGTGAAAAATCGACATTTTTCAACTTTAGGAATTTTTTTGTCGAAACTATTCACTATTGGTCAAAACGGCTCACATGTCCCAATCTGAACTTTTGATCAACTATCTACTGATTATGGTTCGTTCGTCAAAAATTTGGAAATTCAAAATGGCGGATCCAATATGGCAGACGAGTTTTGTTTTTATGGTCAGATTCTATTCGAAATTATGGTATCTTGAGGTTTTAGAGATCGGAGATATGAAACATTTGTCAAAATGGGGAAATTCAATATGGCGGATTCGATATATGGCGGACGAGTTTTTTAATTATGATCAGATTCTATGCAAAATTGGTATCGGGGGGATTTTGGGATCGGAGATTATGATTCTTCATCAAAATTAGGAAATTAAAGATGGAGGATCCAATATGGCAACTGAGTTTTGTACTTATGATCCGATTCTATATAAAATTTGTATCTTGGTGTTTTCGGGGTCGGAGAAGAATTAGAAAACAAAATAATAAAAGTATGTTGATAAATAATTAACGAAAAAGATATTTTCTAGGAATAATTGTATATAGCAAAACAACGTTTGCCGGGTATCAGCTATCGTAATAAATATTAGTTTGAAATTATAGATAGTCAAACTAATAAGAAGTGAGTAGAAAATAAAGAGTAGTTTGAAAAAATGAAGAGGTATAGAGTACCGAACTAAAAAGAAGTAGAAAATAAATAAAGTAGTTTGAAAAACTAAGGAATTAATCCCGCTTTTATTTTTTGACAAACTAAAAAAAAGTAGAAATAAAATAATGGAAGTTTTCTGATAAATATTCATCTAAGAATTTTTGTTTATGGCAAAACACCCAGCGAGCACAAACATCCCTGGGATGTTTTGGGATGTTTTGAAAATGTTGGCATGAAGATGTTATTTTGAGACGTAATATGCACTGACCAAAGAGGTCTTTGAAGGATATTGAAGTATTGTTTTTGTTCTTCTGTGGCCTTTCTTTGTTTGCCTACTGAGAGGTATCCCTGGGATGTTTTAGGATGTTTTAGAAATGTAGGCATGAGGATGTTTTTTTGAGGCGTAATATGCACTTCCCAAAGAGGTCTTAGAAGGATATTGAAAGTATTGTTTTTGTTCTTTTGTGCCCTTTCTTTGTTTGCACCACCACAACGTCTCATGCTTACGTCACAATTCGATGAATTCTGATTTGTTTTCGATTTTGTTCTTCTTGTTCGCAATTGACATTCGCGTTTGCAGCGTGTCACGCTTACATCACGCTGCTAACGAACAGAAAGGAATTTGGTGAAGTTTATTGTGTTAGAAGACTTATTTAGTTTGTAATAATGACCATCAGATGCAAGATGTGTTGTTCGGTGCCTCAGTTCGAAAAGTTCGAATTTATCAATACACAGCTTCTCCGCAGTTGCAAAATTATGCGAAGGTATAATTTCATATCAAGAAAATATTCTTATGATCAATCTATTTTTAATGCATTTTTTCATTCAAGGGAAATGGAATCCTAATGCAAAAGTTTATTTTGGCAAAAGGCTTCAGAAAAGTACCTCGAAAATGGTTTTTTTACAGCGATTTGATGTGCGCAAGACGCGTTGAAAATGTTCTGTTGTTTCCATGAAAAGGCTTTAAAAAGAACTAGGGAGAAGGTAGTTTTGTGACATATCAAGGACATCTCGATAATTGCCGCCTGCGGCGGACATTGGCTGTTCTATAATAGTTCTATTCATGTGTGAACAAAACATCGCAGCGGAGGTTCAATGTCTCGAAATCTCGTACTTTTACCATATCTGAGATGTTCTTGTTTTGTGCTCGCTGGGCAACGTTTACCTGGTCAGCTATATAGTGTGATACATTATTGTATGGGTCTTCATTTGGACTCACTCAGGGATAGAAAACAGCAGAGCACAATCCTCCAGGCATGCCTTTTCAAATAGTCAGCGAACCCATGTAGAAGTTTTTCTATGAATGATGTGGTTTCGGAGTCAGCTTTTCTTTCGAAATTGTCGAAACTTGTGCTGAAGTTGTATTTGGGAGGAGGGATATAGTAGGTGTGTTGCACGTAGCATCTTCCAAAACCTTCCACTCTGAAATCAACAGTATTACTAGTTACTCGTTTTCCATTCAGATATTTTTCATTCGGAAAAGACCCAAGATCAAAATATTCTGGTTATTCTTGGATTATTTTAGACAATGAGTAGATGTTCTGTATATTAATAATAATAATAATAATAATGATAATAACATTAATTGATCCCAAGACACATACAATGATTATAGAGGGAAACAAAAAAAAAATCAAATATGCAATACAATGAAAGATAAACCGTTCAATCAGAATTAATTGATACAAGGAAAGAGTTAAATTGATATTCAGAATATATTTCTTCAGTTCACACTTAAATTTTGTGACGAATCTAGTACACTCAGTTCCAAAAAAGTGACGCACTTGATATTTGACCTATATCTTCTTAAAAAAAAAAAAAAAAAAAAAATAATAGGCCGATTTTTATTTTTTTTTCATGTTGGTAGGTAATGCATTTGTCTTGAAAAAAATAAAGAGGTGACATTTTTTTCGAAGCCTCCTTGATGGTGGTGGAATAACTCGACCCATGATTTATTCTTAATTTTTGACTCACCATGTGCGTTAATTGAGTAATGTCATAGAAAGTGCTTACACCCTATATGAAAGAGGCTTTTTTTGGGAGCATTTTGTTTTTTTATTCATTGATTTATCTCTAAAATTTTCCGAATTATCTCCTGACCAGATGGCTCCACGTGTCTATAATTTGCTACCAAATTTTATAAAAGAATCCAAAACTGTTTCAATGTTCAAACGAATACTCAAGAATTTTCTTGTTGATAATTGTGATGATAGTTTTGAAGAATTTTTGTGTATAAGTAAGTAGTTTTCATCCTCTTTTTTCAGGATTTTTTCGATCTCCGGTCTCCTTTTTTCTTCTGTTTTTTTTGACGATCCCTATAAAAATCTTGTAACTTTGTCTTGAAGAAAAGAAAAGATTATCATTATTATATTTTCACAATTTGGAGTTGAGGTAAAAAAAGTGGAAGATACTTACGAATTAATCGAACATTTTTCAACACACTTTAAGTCTGGACTATCATTACGACTCACATCTACTTGTAACAATCTGAAAATGAATTGGTTAACTTTGATGGTCCAGATAAACATTCCTGGAAAACTGACAGTGGATATATAGTTATTTACCTAACAAGTGCGGAAAATAGTACTCTTCCGCACGCGACGGCAGTTGCAGGTCAAGTCGTCAAGGGCGGAAAAGACATTTTTCTACAAACGTCAGTAAAAGTATAATTTTTGACGCATGCTGTCAGTGTCTAAAATGTCAGTTCATGACACTGGTGTTAAAAGTAAATCACTTTTAGCACTAGTGCTAAAAGTGATTTATTTTTGTGAGAAAATATATAAACATAATTCAAAATGAAGTGTTTATTAAATTAAAAGAACAATTAGCGAAACTACAATTATAATACGAAACTCCATGGCCAGTCTCATTGTTAGATGTGACAGAATTTATTTTCGTGAAGCTTGTACCACGGCAGAAAGCAATATTAACTGCCGAAGTTTTCGACAAAATTTGATCTGCAATGTTCTGTTTCCTTTGTAGCGAGTATTTTATATAACCCTCTGCTACTGTACTGGACTTCCATCCACCATGTATTTTAATTGTAGTAAGACTAGCACCAGAGTCCGCCAACGCGCCAACAAACTAGCTGAGCAACGTCGGAAAAACAATGTCGTCCAGTATATATAGATGGGAATCAGGCAAATTAAGAAATTCGGCAATTTTGGCAGGCATCTTACCAAATGTGTTGATTCCAACTGGAGTCCTGGCACATTTATTTTTAATGCATTTTATAAAAACTCTAGAATGATTAATATCCACTTTACGAAGGGCTGTGTACTTTTTGTAGTAGTTCATATACAATGTATCACTTACAACAAAGGTGCGTTGCACATTAGTTTTTGTGTCTGGTATTTGCACAACTAGTGAAGTTCCGGAATCCTCGATATTATTCAATGTCAAATCGCACAGTTCTTCTCGACGACAGGCTCCAAAAACACCAAAAATCGCAGCAACTTTCTGCATTAGATATATTTCATCTGGGGCTTCTGCGAGAAATTTGTCGATTTGTTCTCTTGTCAATACTTTTGACTTTTTCGGTCGATATCCTTCACCCTTTCGCTTCAAAAAAGCCACAAGCTTGTGATATCTGCTTATGTCATGATCATTTATGTTCATCATCGACTTTAACATAGAGTAATTCGACCAAAGCGTTGACGATTTTCATATTTTGGACTTTTCTTCAAAGTATGCAAGAAGCACTTTTTCACTGGCCTCCTTTCCACTGACATTTTTCTGATCACACCATTTCAAGAAACGTTCGTATGAAAACTCGCGTACTGTCGCTTTCACTTTCTAGGCAATAATTCAAAAACAGCTTTATGGCAGCTTCTTCAATTTGCGGCGGAAGAATTTCATTTTCTTGGGCACTTTCCATCGAGGAACGAAGAAACGAGAAAGAATATTTCGTGATTTATTGATGTTATAATTGTCAAGGAAGATAAATCAACAAATTAAGTTTTTGTTTACCTTGGTAGCTTGTTTCATGAATAGATTCGATTGAATTGGATTCAAAACTGATAATCTTGAGGCTGTTATTTAATCAATTTATAAGTAATGTAAAATATGCGTTAATTTGGACTTTTAATGGTGTTTGTAGAAAAAATAGTGTATGATATATGTGCTAAAAGACTTTTTTTAGCACTTATATCATAAATAACTATTTCCGCACGCTCGTAGGAAAATACATTTCATCATTATTTCACCAAAGTAAAATCTAGGACTGAACTTACGGTCGACTGCTAAAGTCTTGTCCTGAACATTCGATGCTACCTTGTTTTGAGTTCTTCTTGCCGCAAATGTTCCCGCACTGATCATATCCCCAAAATCTGTCGATATCTGAATGGACCAGGGTGTATATCAAGAAAGGAAGCTGAAATGAAGGAAACAAAGGACCCCGCACATTTAGTACGTAAAATGGCTTTCGGCTAAATTTTCTGAAAATTTGATATGTTTAAGACATTATCGTCCTTATCACACAGTCCAATTTACAGATCGATCCTATGACCAGTTTTCGAGCTACAGGGTGTCAAACATTAGATTTTGGCTGTTTAGAATATTTTGCATCAATTCGAATTATGTGCTATAAGTCGTGATTATTCTTCAGTAGGAATGAACTCTTCACGTCTAATATCTACCTCATGAATCCCTCTATTCGGTTAGAGGATAATATCACATACAGAGTATTGCATTCCATCATGACAAGGTAATATTCTTGGGAAAAGACAAATATTGAAAACATCAGAATTTTGATTTTTACTCAATCACTGAAAACTTGAAAACAAACGGCTAGAATCGGCCAATTATGTGACACAGTATGGGTCTTGATCATAAACATGAGGATTCATATGATTACCTCTGATACCATGTCCGGTTGGCCATATATAGGGTGATGACAATTTGAAAGCTTATAGAATTGATGTAACTCAGGTACAAAATGAGATACATTTCTATAATATATGAAGTGGAAAATGAAATGCCTCATGGAATAACCCACCCCCACCAAGCCCCTGATGAGTCACAACCACCCCAACGCATATCATCTCAAAAGTTTTTTCCAAAAACAATAGGAATACTGATTACCAATGCAGAAATATTACTCAGCTCCATTCAGACTCCAAAACAGTTTGTAATGCACATAACAATATACAAAAATAACCGCATGGATGAAATATATATAGTCTTCAAGCAGATATAGATAGTGAACGATCTCTGCTGAATTCCAGCAAAGACCCAAGCAACAATATTTTCGGAAATCGCCATCAACAGTGCGACCCATTATGTACTATCATTCATGGCTTTTGCCTATCAGTTCATCTATAGCAATGCTTGATGTCATATTATGGTATCTGACAACTTGTCTCAATACGACCTTTTCGCCAGAATATGAGCCACAATGTGAAAAATATCTATCAGCAGCTTTTGACAATCATCAAAATACAAATTCTCTTGAGAATTCAAACATATCGGACATGTCACAGTTTTACAACTTCTATCTTGGAGATGTTCTGCTGGATTGAATGGAGCTGTGTCCTTACCGTCTGGCCAGGTTAGGTTAGGTTAGGTTAGGTTAGGTTAGGTTAGATAAGGTTAGGTTACTAGAACATTCTGTAGATTTTAGTTTTCTCTCGCTTCACTAGCCAACTGTTCACATAAGCAATTGCACTTTTATGGTTATTTATATAATGCTCGATAATAACGATTTTTTCCCATACTACAAAAAGTTACGGAATTAATACGTCACCCCAGCAGAATGATATAGGTGATGAATATTTTTTTTTGGTTCACCCAGTTCGAGATATGAATAATACCACTGAAATGTGTTTTCACCAAGCTATTCAATGAGGTATCACAATAAGTAGGGGCTACTATTGAGATGATATGCGTTGGGGTGGTTGTGACTCATCAGGGGCTTGGTGGGGGTGGGTTATTCCATGAGGCATTTCATTTTCCACTTCATATATTATAGAAATGTATCTCATTTTGTACCTGAGTTACATCAATTCTATAAGCTTTCAAATTGTCATCACCCTATATATGGCCAACCGGACATGGTATCAGAGGTAATCATATGAATCCTCATGTTTATGATCAAGACCCATACTGTGTCACATAATTGGCCGATTCTAGCCGTTTGTTTTCAAGTTTTCAGTGATTGAGTAAAAATCAAAATTCTGATGTTTTCAATATTTGTCTTTTCCCAAGAATATTACCTTGTCATGATGGAATGCAATACTCTGTATGTGATATTATCCTCTAACCGAATAGAGGGATTCATGAGGTAGATATTAGACGTGAAGAGTTCATTCCTACTGAAGAATAATCACGACTTAGAGCACATAATTCAAATTGATGCAAAATATTCTAAACAGCCAAAATCTAATGTTTGACACCCTGTAGCTCGAAAACTGGTCATAGGATCGATCTGTAAATTGGACTGTGTGATAAGGACGATGATGTCTTAAACATATCAAATTTTCAGAAAATTTAGCCGAAAGCCATTTTACGTACTAAATGTGCGGGGTCCTTTCAACATTCCATTGGTGAACACTTTCAGAACGGAAACTTGACTTGGGTATTGAATTTTGTTGGTCTCAATTAGTTGATTATTACTTACAAAAAGTACTAAAACCACGGGAAAAACTATTATGAATTTGGAATCAGTTAATCGTCTGTTTTCCGGCTTCTCAGGGATCTGTATATTGTCCAGCAGAGTATCCGTCGGTAATTCTTTGAAAATCGTCAACTGAAAACAACAAAAAATGCTATGAATTCGTTTGGGAGTACATAATTCACAGTGCCATCAATAAATTTATGTTGAATCATTTTTGCAAAAATTGAGCTGGTGTTCCTTCTGTTACAAAAAAATAATTCAAAATTCATGTTAAAACTGTTCATGTAGTCAATGCTGCTTTTTCAATTATTGAGGATATTTGTGGGGGGACTGTCAAGGGAGGTACAATGGGAAAGACCACTGATTTTTTAAAATGACATTATCGTGAACTCTATACTGAAAAACTATCAGCGAATTAATTTTGAATTTTGTCATCCATGCTAAATTAGATTAGATTAGATTTAGAATGGGGCCTTCGGGCTATCTGCCTCCACACCGCGACCTTTTCAGATCTATTGTGTCTGCCCTCAAAATCGATTAGAGTTCTTCGGCTAGCCCCGTCTTCTCTATGAGACTCCATAGGCTAGCTTTCAGATCCCCTGTGTATCTCTGGGCTTCTGGTTTTTCCTCACCCAGCGTAAGGAACCTTAGTCTTGACAAGCCCTCACAGTGGCAAAGTATGTGTACTGCTGTTTCCTCCTCTTCCTGACAGAACCTGCACAGCAGTTCTTCAGTCAGACCTATCGTACTCATGTGTTTGTTGAGCCTACAATGCCCTGTGAGAAGTCCCACTAGTATTCTAGTTGAACTTCGTTTCTGGCTTAGTAGATATTCTGTGAATGTTGGCGATGGTTTTTTAATAAACTCTTTTGCCTGTCTCATTCCTGGCGATTTGTTCCACCATTCTTGAGATTTGGTTTGCATCCATGATTTGATACTAGTCTTTTGTATAGCTTTCGCAATACCACAGAAGGGTTCTGGGCCATTCAGAGCTTTGTTTGCTCCTGCTCGGGCAAGTGAGTCTGCCTCTTCATTGCCCTCGTACCCTGTATGTGCTGGTACCCATGCTAGAGTCAGTCTGTTCTGACTGCCCAGTGCATTTAGGGTTTCTAAGCAGTCCCATACTAGTTTTGAGTTAACTTGCATAGAGTTGACTGCTTTGATTGCCGCCTGGCTATCTGAATAGATTGCAATGGTTTTGCCTTTAAACTCTTGCCTTATCAATTCTTTCACGCAATGATGTATTGCAATAATTTCTGCCTGAAACACCGTCGCGTATTTACCTAAGCTCAGTGAGATTCTTGTCTTTGGCTTGGCCCCATAAATACCGGCTCCTGATCCAAACTCAGTTTTGGAGCCGTCCGTATAGACAGCAATGTCTGCATTGATAGGAGGTCCTTCCTTCCATGCCTCTCTGTCCGTTATACTTATTTTAAAAGTTTTTTCAAAGCTATATTTTGGAATTATGCCATCCGTTGGCATTCCCATGATGGGGTCGCTTTCCAACTCTTCATATAGCTTTCTATAGTCTTTACCGTGCGCGTTGCTTATGGGTGCTTGACCCCTTGACAATCTACTCACGACTGCTCTGGCTTCGCCTTGAATATATATTTGTAGTGGTGGTAGGTTCAAGAGGACCTCTAAAGCGGCTGTTGGAGTGGTTTTCATTGCACCAGTGGCACTCAGGCAAGCTTGCCTTTGAATAGCACTGAGCCTTCGAATCACTCCAGCCTGTTGTGTCTTTGGCCACCAAACTACTGACCCATATGCTATCATAGGCCTGATGACGCTGGCATAGAGCCATGTGGTCATTTTTGGTTGCAGTCCCCAATTTTTCCCGCACATTCGTCTGCATGCTAAGACGATGAAAATAATAAATTAGAATATGTCCATTTCAAAACACACAATTTCTGCGCCATTCGAGATTTTGCCAATTCATTGGTGTGACTGGTACGTGCGACGTCTTATTCCCAACACGCCTATTGTTCTTGAACTGACCAATCACACTGCAACACGGCAGAATGACGAGGTATCAGAGAGAGATAGCTACAGTTCGGGACTAATACGTCACGACTCCACCATCATATTTGGCTGTTTGAAATATCAAATGAAATATGCTGATTTCAAAATGATATAGATTCGATTCCCTTCAACTTCAACTCATAATATTGATTGTACATCAAACGTAAATCATGATTCGTAGATTGAAAGAGGTTTGCACGGATTTCTTCTCTCAGTGGTCTTCCCCATTGTTGATATTTCAGAAGAGCATCGTCCATGAAAATATCTATAAAATAGAGCCAGATCGCCAACTTTTCTACGGTGTTCCAGAGAAGTGAGTGAGCGAGGCATCACCCATGAGACGAATTTCCCTTTTTTGGACAGAATCCAACAGTTTCAGGGTATATTTGGGTGCTGCACTCCAAATATGGAAACAGTATTCCAGGAGAGGTCGGATCTGTGCCTTATAGATCATGAGCAGCTGACTGGAAGTGAAATAGCTCCTGGCCCGAAACAGAAAACCAAGTTTTTGGGATGCACTTTTAGCAATTGATCTCATTGATTTTCCCAAGAAAGGTTATTGCTGATAGTAATACCAAGGCATCGAAATAGATGTCTTCAAAGGTATGGTTACTCCTGAAAAGCTTATGTTGGGCACAGTGAGATCGGCTTTTCTAGAGCAAAGGCATGCGTGTGTTTTGTTTGCATTGAAATTTACCAAATTATTGGATCCCCATTCGAGAATTGTTGCCAATAAAGTAAATTTTTCTATAGCAGGCACTTTTCTAACACTTTTTAACGGGAATATACCGGGTGACACAGGAGACATGTAGCAGGCTGTATAGTTTCTTTATTTGGAGAGATAAAATTTTGAAATTCACAGGGGGTATATAGTGAATGGTAGCGCACTTTACGAACTTAACGACAATTTTTTTCAACCACCTGTTTGATCGGAAATGACCCCAACTTTTTTTTTAAATGTCACCCTGTACATTTCTTCGGTCTATCTTTTTTGTCTTGAGATTCTCTATCCAACCATGTATCACAAAGTGGCATTTATTTGTCAATTCGCTGTTGAATTGCTGTTTATTCAAAAAGAATAAGTTGGCTGTGACATGAATTCGATGATATGCAATTTTAATCAACACACGAATGAAGAAGAAAAATTATTGATGCAATCGATTAACTGTCAAACACATAAAACATTTTGTGTAGGTATACCGCCTACTAAGTGAAATAATTATAAAAAAATAGACTGATAGCCCTGTGAATCATCGTATAAGAGGAACAATTTCAGTTTTATTATTCCAAATGGGAAGGTCATGTGATAGGTACATGGCGAAAATAAAAGACAGATAGTTTCTGTACGAGTAGCTGGATTCGAAAAAATATGTTCCTATCTTAGATTCCTCAATATCATGAGTTATTTTCGAAGGTTTTCATCTTGACTCAAACAAGATAATTGACAACCTGCAGACATTGATCAGAATAATATCAAAACATTTTGAATAATATCGGTTTACTGATGATCTTTAAATTTCAAAGCCTACCAAGTGTCGACATATCATCGAATTCATGTCACAGCCAACTCATTCTTTTTGAATAAACAGCAATTCCACAGCGAATTAAGAAATAAATGCCACTTTGTGATACATGGTTGGATAGAGAATTTCAAGGCAAAAAAGATAGACCGAAGAAATGTACAGGGTGATATTTGAAAAAAAAAAGTTGGGGTCATTTCCGATCAAACAGGTGGTTGAAAAAAATTGTCGTTAAGTTCGTAAAGTGCGCTACCATTTATTATATACCCACTGTGAACTTGATTTTTTTTATGACTCTCTCTGTTTACATCATTCCATGATAAAAGAGACAACTATGGAAAAAAATCAACTTTAGCAAGTTCAGAAATACAAACGAACAGGCCTTATATATTATAGTTTTTACTCACCCCTTCAGGCTGCATACTTCTACTCAATGTTTCCCCCATAATGCCTATGTAACCAAGAAAATAAGGATTAGTTTTTTTGTATAATTTGTTGTAGATCAATCGAGGAATATTCATTTATCTAGAATTTCGAGTTATCACTCCTTTACAGTCTCTATATAATATTTATTTATACACCATGGTAGGAAATAATATCAGAATTACCCAGGGACCAAGATTATATTTCAATCTGCTTCAAATACTCAAATAATAGAGTGTTTCACTCTGATTATAATAACTGCCCTTTCAATATAGGTACACTTTTCCAAGACATATTATTGGTATAATTCTGAAAAGATACTAACAAAATGAGATATAAGAAAAACGAGTTCTTTTTATTTGGATGTCAAGACAACTTGGATGAATATTTCCTATACCTGTATAACAACCTATTCGGATATTTTTAATTTCATCACTTTATACAGGCGATGAAGGACTCGTTCTCATAAAATAAGTTCGGAACTCTCCAGTCTTGGCCCCACTTGTGATAGCAATATCCCAAAAATGTGTATAAAATATTATGAAAAAATGTTCTATGGTTATCTTGAATGGCTTGGAAAGGACATTTGCGCCTGCGTATTTTTTATTTTCAATTGTTAATTTGGTTTGCATAAATGGTATAATCGTGGAAATACACCAAGGCAAAATCTGTTTCTTTTTATTTATCGCAAGCTGAATGAGACAGAAAATCACTAGAAAAAGGAACATCGGAACTTGATTCATATACCGGGTGGCTACGGAAGTATTGCCTACGGAATATCTCAGTTATTGTATGAAGTAGGTTTGTGAAATTTGGAGCGTCGATATAATGACATAAGAGCTAGAATTTGAGCATATTGACATGTCGAAGTTAACTTCCGGTCTGACCGGAAGTAACATCAACTTTCTTATTTTGAATGGAAACCCTACTTTTTTTTTATTTTCGCTTTATTCAGCATTCAATTCCCTTTCTAATGATATATCACAAGTTGGTATCTAACCAGAAACTAGATCAGAAAAAAATTATTATTGAAATTCACCGAGTAGGCCGTGGAAGCAAAATGAAAGCCAAAAATTGAAAAATGACTTTCTATTATATCATTAGAAAGGAATGGTTATGCTGAATAGTACAGGCAAGAAAAAGTTGTATGTTCCTATTTAAGTTATTATAGACCTACAGAGTATTGTTTTTTCCCCAATTTTTCCAATATTTTTTTTGGCGGCTTTTTATAACGCCGACGAATGAAAATAAAATATCACAGTTGTAGCAACTGTTATCAAGTGACGTATGGTTTCCATAGCCAACTTTTCAATTTTTGGCTTTCATTTTGCTTCCACGGCCTACTCGGTGAATTTCAATAATAATTTTTTTCTGATCTAGTTTCTGGTTAGATACCAACTTGTGATATGTCATTAGAAAGGGAATTGAATGCTGAATAAAGCGAAAGGAAAAAAAATAGGGTTTCCATTTGAAATAAGAAAGTTGATGTTACTTCCGGTCAGACCGGAAATTAACTTCGACATGTCAATATATATGCTCAAATTCTAGCTCTTATGTCATTATATCGACGCTTTGAATTTCACAAACCTACTTCATACAATAACTGAGATATTCCGTAGGCAATACTTCCGTAGCCACCCGGTATATTTTGATCATTGAATTGTTACTGTGACTTAATGTCAAACAATTAGAGTACTGGTTATACATCAATAATATTCAATTCAATGATCAATCTAAAGCATTGATTCTAAAAGTGTGATCGCGTATTGATGAGTTCAAAGAAAGAATGTTGTCAGCATTGCCGCGGAAGCTTTGAATATTTCAGAAAATCGGATCAAGAATTCGCAAAAAACTCTGATGTTGTTTATGCAGAAACAGTTAGCATTTCAGCTACTCCTTTTACGTGATAATTGTTAATTGATAATTGGAAATTGATGCTGCATAAATCCACACTAAGTTTAATAAATTGAATCTATGAACCCAAGTCTATTCAGTCATATGTACCAAACCCAAATATTCAAAAATCATATGCATGCATTATTATTATTAGAGAGTTGAAGTGTTGTCATGAACGTTAACGTAAACGTAGAAATTGACAGCTACGCATGCGCATTTTCCAATTCTTCACGTTTGCGTTGTAAGTGGGCTAACGGGTGTACGTTATCTCACGTACCTTCACGTATACCTTAAATATCAACGTACGTTAACCAAACTATACTCGAAATATGCCGACGAGTCAAAATTATCAAATTTGGGATCCCCAACGAGTTCTGCATCAAGGAGTCCTCTCATTTTGACAGGAATAAATGGTCGAATCCAAACACACAACCAAAAATGACCAATACAAACCGAAAACAAAATGTATTATTACGTTATGATGACAGTGACGACTTCAACTCAATTTAACGACAATACGTAAACGTTATTTTTCGTACCTTAACGTCTACGTGGAGGTCTACGTACAGTGATTACTTCAACTCTCTAATAGCACGCTTAGGTATGTATTACCTACTTACTTATATATTCTCTTTGTTGCATTTTGTACTTTTGGGTTTTGGCCGTTGGATCCATGATTTTAAGTTTTATATGTTCCAAAATAGGTAGGTGAGTAAGAGTGTTGGGATTATAATATAGTTAATTAGTTAATCGAATAATTATATGAAATTCTTTTACTTACCGGTTTGTGCGCGATCCAACCGAAATCTGGGAGTTCTAATGGGTATCCCAAGACGCCAAGGTCACTCAACAACGTCAAGCACAATTTTATTTCACTACTCCACCCTGTCAATTTCGACACACGAAATCCTCTATGTCAAGTTGTCTAGTTAACTAGTTGTATTTGTGTACCTACAGCAACCGAGAACATTACCAAGGTGAACCAGGAACCCCTTGGCCTCTTGCGATTTTGCGACGATGAAAATGGGGGGTGTATAATTTGCTGACTAAAATTGAAGTATGCTGATCGAGCATTTCTGATTGGAATTTCAGAGGGGTAGTTTATTCTTGCAGTTTTTCAAACATCCTTGCTGACCGAGCAGTACTGGTTCGTATTTTTCCAACAAATTACATATTTGAATATCACATACAGTGCGTCCATAAAGTAACGCATCATAAATTCATTATTGGCTAAATGAACAATAAAATCAGAAATTCCCGAAACAGGTCGATTTTTGATTTCAATTTACTATTGTTTCAAATCATAATCTAATATACAGGGTGAACCACTTTCGTGTAATGACGTCATCACCATTTTTTTCAAATGGAACCCCCCCCCTTTTTTTTCAATTTCCAAATTGCCTTTGCTGAGCTGATTCCAAAAATGTATAATATGTTGCTTCAAACTGGTACAGGGTGGGCAAAAATGCAAAAATTTACTTACAAAGTAATAAAAATAATGAATAAACGTAATAAACACATTAAATGAAATTACGTATTGTTATACAACTACTTTGATAAACTATCAAGAACATTATTCTTAATAATTGTATCTTACAGCTTTTCCAGTCCGTGGACTATAAAAATCTTTTTCTACTCACATACCTAAAATGGCATTAACCGTACGGATATGTACCACGATAAATGATGGATTAATCACGGATTGACGATCTGTTATTTATTCAAAATATTAAACACGTTACCATGGCAACACGATTTCTTAAACACATTACCATGGCAACACAGTTCATTAAACACAGCTTCAGTGTAATTTGAAACATGTCTGGCGTGTCAATTGTATTAACTATCAACTGTTATTTTCGAATTTTTGATCAGAATTATTCAAACAATATTCGTGTGTATCAGAATTAGAATTCTTCATTAAAAATATATGCGAAAAATAGACGAGAGTGAAATCGAAGAGAATGTTCTGGTACCTTGCATATCTCCAAGAAGTGTAGAAATGAAGCATCCATCTTTGAGAACAATTTATTCATTCTGCGCTAAGCATGACAATAAATGTGAAACAATAAAGGTTAGTAAGCAATGGACTGGACACATCTACAACCAATATCACTTATACGTGTCTCGCTGGTTGCATGCATTTGCATGTATTATGTTCTCAATTCCCATTCCTTTCGAATTATTTTTTAGGTTAGCAGGAATTGTAGGTATGTTTATGTAATTTTCGGAGTTTGTAGAAAAAGCATAGTATGTAACGCGTATATAAACTCTTCTAGATACTCGTTTATTAAACACTCGCTCCGCTCTGCTCCGCTCGTGCTTAAAATACTAGTAACTAAAAGGACGTTTATAACACTTGTTACATAATATACTATTTTGTTTGGCATTATCTTTTACCATTTTTTTCGTATTGTTAACGCTTTAGAGAAGGTACGTTCGTATTACTTTCCATAAACAATTTTCATATTTTTTTTTGCATTTTTGCCCACCCTGTACCAATTTGAAGCAACATATTACACATTTTTGGAATCAGCTCAGCAAGGGCAATTCTGAAATTGAAAAAAAAGGGGGGTTCCATTTGAAAAAAATGGTGATGACGTCATTACACGAAAGTGGTTCACCCTGTATATTAGATTATGATTTGAAACAATAGTAAATTGAAATCAAAAATCGACCTGTTTCGGGAATTTCTAATTTTATTGTTCATTTAATTAGCCAATAATGAATTTATGCGTTACTTTATGGACGCACTGTATATATTTTTTCATGCCACTGGTGGAATTATTTAGATTCACCCTTTCAGAGGGGTAGTTTATTCCTGCATTTTTTCAAACATCCTTGCTGACCGAGCAGTAATGGTTCGTATTTTTCAATCAATAAATTACATATTTGGATATCACATATATTTATACATGACACTGGTGGAATTATTTCGATCAACTCTTTCAGAGGGGTTATAGTTTATTGCAGTTTTTCAAAAATCCTTGCTGACCGAGAATTTCTGGTCCGTATTTTTCCATCAAATCACATATTATTATTCGGATATCTTATACTTGTCTATGGTATCATACATTTTTGAGGGCTCATTTTATTCTCCACTATTAATTCACGAGCTGCGGTTAAGTTAGGCTGTGCAAAAAAATCTGATATTCTGACAGGTCATATAATTATCACTAGTGTGATATTATTGGTAATGTTGAGATAATTATTTCTGGTGCTTGATGTATTGGGTTGTTACATTTCAAAGTTTCATAATAGTTGTGCCTACAATAACTTTACCAATAATATCGCAACTATATAGTGATTATGAACTGTCAGAATTATCATTTTTTCTTCACAGCCTACTTTACTGCAGCTTATGAATAAATAGTAAAGTATAAAATGAGTCCTCGAAAGTTTTTAAATCATCGACAAATTATTCTGTCAAACAAACAAATTTATCGATAGTTCACCTAATTTGACTCCAATGATGTTGAACTTTGGAGACTGTTATTTTCCTGTATAAAAATTGGGTTTTGAATTATGAGTTCAATAAGAATGCCTCGAAATGGAGCTGAATATTTTCAAAACATGATAATATAAACCATCTTTCAAATTGGATGCGCATTCGAAAAAAGTAGGACACTTCATTCATTTTTTTCCGCTCTTTCCAAATATCAAAACCGATCAATAAAATTTTTCCATACAGAGTGTTGTTTTTGAGATAAAAGAAGTTTTCTGTTTTTCCTCAAGACGGACCTGGATTCTGATCCGGATTTTCATTTGGTTTTGATGGCTAATATAAGTGAAATATTTCTACCAAGTATGGATGGATTATACAAAGTGGTTCAGAAGTTATAACCAGATGAAGATTTTGCCAATATCAAGATAGCTTCCTGTATCTCTCAGTTATCAAAGACGGGTAGACATATCGATGGGGGGTGATTTGGAACCACCGAAGTGTCCTCTATATCTACATAAGTATCGTATGTACATTCAAGTCTGAAACACCCTGTATAGATGCCACCAGTAGAATTATTTCGATCCTGTCCTTCAGAGGGGAAGTTTTTATTCTTGCAGTTTTTCAAAAATCCTTGCTGACCGAGCATTTCTGATTCGAATTTTTCCTTCAAATTGCATATTTGAATATCTTATATAAATATATAGATGCCAACAGTGGGATCATTTCGATCCACCCTTTCAGAAAGGTAGTTTATTCTTGCAGTTTTTCAAAATTCCTTGCTGACCGAGCATTTCTGATTTGAATTTTTCCTTCAAATTGCATATTTGAATATATCATATAGATTTATAGATGCCACCAGTAAAATTATTTCGATCCACTCTTTCAGAGGGTTAGTTTATTCGTGCAGTTTTTCAAGATTTTTTGCTGATCGAAATCTATTGAATGGCCTGATTCTTCGTAATGTTTGAAGAGTGCCGAGGAGTGGTCTACTTTTCGGACTGCAAGTTGATGTTCGTAAACTCTGCTGGTAACACCTCTATTTGTTTGGCCAATATATGTTCTTGGGCAAACTGAACACGGTACATTGTTTAGTTTGAATTATCGAAGGTAATACCACGAGTCATTCATATATCATCTGATTAAATTTGATAGACGAGTTGAATTTGGAAAGATTACATATTTTTCATTTCGGAATATTCAAAAGGCTCTCAAATGGTGAAAACAATTATTTCTCAACTTCGACAACAGAGGCATGAAGAGCATCTCATTACCTCGAGATATTTCGCGAATCAACTTCCTATCTCTCTTATTTACAGAGTGATCTCAAAAAATCAACTTTTTGGTTTTGCAGCCATAACTTTTTTTCACGTCAACCGATTTTGGAAATCTTAGGCTCATTTTGAAGATAAAACTTCAGATGAAAAGATATGAATATCAGAATTGACTCAAGATGGCTATCAAAGATCTAGAGTTTTCTTGAAAGTGACCCAAATCTGGAACGCCCTTCGAATCTTGGTTGGGAGGAGAATTGAATGAAAATCAACTTGTTCTCGGAAAAACAATTCATTCTGGATGCGTCCATATTTTCCTCGCTCTCAGTAGTCAAGAATTGTGTGTGAGAAAACACAATTGAAACATGTTCTTGCAAAAACATTGGATCATTTCTCCTCTGTAATGCATGGCCCGCCGTAACCAACGTTACAAGAATCACAATGAGTGACTATGACAAACCCGACCAGCTGAGGCTCATCATAAAGGGTGTACCAACAAGAGCAACGGATTTTGATTTTTTTCAATAAAGTGATTTTTTTAACAGTTGTCACGTACATAACATGCGATTTAAGAATATGGAGAAGTATTCAAGCAAACAACGTCTTTTTATTGTAAAAACGCATTTCAAAAATGGTGAGAGTTTCACGTGAAGTTTTCAGTCGCACTATAATGCGCTGAACGAATCGACAGTAATAACCAAACAATTCGTGTCGGAGATAAGCCCTTTGAATGGATCGGACTGTCGTGTTTAGCAGATCCGCGATCTGGAGGAAAGATATCCCTTGTTCCCTCATTTGTGGAATCAGTTCTAACTGGTCGGGCGTTAGATGCGGCATCGAAACTATCAAAATCTGTTTATGATTCGAAAACCACGTCTAACCTGACTTGTCAGTCACTTACTGTGATTCTTGTAACGTTGGTTACGGGCCATGCATTACAGAGGAGAAATGGTCTGATGTTTTTGCAAGAACATGTTTCAATTGTGTTTTCTCACGCACATTCTTGAGTACTGAGAGCGAGGAAAATATGGACGCATCGAGAATGAATTGTTTTTCCGAGAACAAGTTGATTTTCATTCAATTCTCCTCCCAATCGAGATTCGGAGAGCGTTCCAGATTTGGGTCACTTTCAAGAAAACTCTAGATCTTTGATCGCCATCTTGAGTCAATTCTGATATTCAGATCTCTTCATCTAAAGTTTTATCTTCAAAATGAGCCTTAGATTTCCAAAATCGGTTGACGTGGAAAAAAGTTATGACTGCAAAACCAAAAAGTTGAGTTTTTGAAATCACTCTGTAAATAAGAGAGATAGGGAGTTGATTCGCGAAATATCTCGAGGTTATGAGATCATCTTCATGCCTCTGTTGTCAAAGTTGAGAAAAAACAATTTCCATCATTTGAGAGCCTTTTGAATACTCCGAAATTTCGCACAGTGTCGGAAAACACCATGTAGAGATTTTATGTGAATACCCTTATGTTTCAATGAAGTACGAGATTATAGCTGAAGGACTGGGCTATCGAACAGTGTGAACCAAATTCAAATTGTTTTAAACTGAAAAAAGTTATTCACATTATAACAGGGGCGACATTTTGGTGTGCGACGAAATTAGTGTTGAGTAGTTTATCATTGCATTGTGCCACTACAACTTTTTTGTTTTTGCTAAGGGAATATGTATACGGGTTTTTGTAATGAAACCACAAGAATACATTCATACAAGAACTTTATAACAAGTTGTAACATATAATATTATAGAACACATTACAAAATAAACTAGTAGACCGAAAGATTCCGAAAAACAGCAGTAAAAAATATGTTTCATTTCATCTATTCTTCAATGTATTGTCAGGCTTATGCGCTGATAGTTAGCTAACATCAATAAAAAAATAAATATCAACTCTGAAAAACATTATTTGAAAAGTCCCAATTGTTTTTCAAATATCTCAACTAACCAACATTGGTTCTTGCTTATTCCTTATATGGCTAGACAATTAAGCAGAAATTAGACTTTTCATTTAATAATGATCATTACATAAATATATAGACTACTTTTAACGCATCTTGTAAGGCCCTTATTCATTAAGCATTTTAGTTAAACACAAAGTCTACAGTTTGAAAAATGTAAACAAAAATCGACCGTGTATCCCATTCATCATAAGTCAAGAAAAAATTCCCCAAAAAAACTATCATAAATGGTCCTGTTCAGAGAGAAAAAAAAACGGCACATATTGAAGAGAAAAAAAAACAATTATTCTGTGTCTGTGGAATGAATAAACTTACGATTGACTGGACAATTTTTTCCCTCTACGGTCGATCTACATTCACTTCGCAAAACATCAAAGTTACCAACGATTATTGGTATGGAAAAAATCTCAAAAATAACATTCTCTATAGAAGACATTGATAAACATCGGTGTGCGTGGGTCCCCATCTTACTTCTTGTCTCCGTAAAGCAGCTTGGAGTTTTCTACAAACTCCATCAGATCCCTAGACATGGCGTACGGTCTCGACATACCGTCGTTCAGAAGACTATCCTCGCAGAAGCACAAAAAGATCGTATCGATGGTGGTCTGAAAAAGTCCAAAAAACTCGTCTAATTCATTGATTGATTGATTGTCTTTATTACCCCAAGAAACATTTCTGTTTATGATAGGGATACATAAATACATATAAAAAAATAATAATAAAGGGTTAACTATAATGAATTCCACTCAGTGGAAACGAATTAATATTGTGTCTTATAAGATTAAAGTTATATTTCATTCCTAAGTAATCAAATCATGCCACATATTTTTCTTTCAAATTGTCCTGAGCAAGTATTTTTTAAGATTGATTTTAAACCTTCTTGCATCATGTATATTTTTCAACTCAATCGGTAATGAATTGTATAAAATTATTCCATTGTGAATAACAGATTGTTTGCCAATGTTTGACCTGAATGTATTTGCTATCAAGGAAGTCAATTGTTTAGTCCCATAACTATGGACTGTGTTGACTTCATTGAAAGCTAAATTTGATATTTTCAACTTATTCCTGGCAAAATGAATAAAGCAACATATCTCAAGTTTATATAACGAAATCAGGTTCAGAAAATGTCTTGGTTTGTATAAATTTATCGTTGGTTCTAGAAAATGTAGATGCAAAATGCACTTAATTGATTTGTTTTGTAATTTTATTAGTGGTTTCAGACGTGAAATATTTGTACTCCCCCAAATAGAAATTAAATATTGCAAATTTGAATAAATGAGGCAAAAGTAAATACATTCCAAGTATTTTATGGGAATAATATTTCGGATTTTGAATAAAATGCCTATGAATATTGTGTGTCCCATATTCGATCCTCGCCATTGGGAATCGAGAAAGTTCAATCGTGATTCAGAATCCGTCGAGAAAACCTGACTAGCTTTAGTCATTTCTGAGTTATATTCAAGACTGGAACATGTACGGTGAAAGATGTGCGAAAGATAGGCAACACTGATGAGGGCCGAAAGCCCGAAACACGTGTCAACGGTTAACTCTTTCTGAGGGCTATGTTTTGATTTCGTGACCTGATTCGGCAGTTCTTCGATCCAAAAAAATCAATGGTGAAAACAGAATTGAGCTATCTTTGCTCTGAAAAAAGTTTGGATTTTTTTCTAGGACCTACTAATCAATTTCCTAACCTGACCTGAAAGTTCGTCATCTGTCCAGATATCGCTTCCATTTTGATTTCGTGACCTGAACAGGCAGTTCTTCGATCCAAAAAAATCAATGGTAGAAACAGAATTGAGCTATCTTTGCTCTGAAAAAAGTTTGGATTTTTTTCTAGGACCTACTAATCAATTTCCTTAACTGACCTGAAAGTTCGTCATCTGTCGAGATATCGCTTCCATTTTGATTTCGTGACCTAATAAGGCAGTTGATAGTGGAAACAGAATTGAGCTATCTTTGCTCTGAAAATAGTTCGGATTTTCTTCTAGGACCTACTAATCAATTTCCTCAACTGACATCTGAATGGTCGTCATCTGTCGAGAATTCGCTTCCATTTAGATTTCGTGACCTAATTAGGCAGTTTTTCGACCCAAAAAAAATCAATAGTGGAAACAGAATTGAGCTATCTTTGCTCTGAAAATAGTTCGGATTTTCTTCTAGGACCTACTAATCAATTTCCTCAACTGACATCTGAATGGTCGTCATCTGTCGAGAATTCGCTTCCATTTATATTTCGTGACCTAATTAGGCAGTTTTTCGACCCAAAAAAATCAATGGTGGAAACAGAATTGAGCTATCTTTGCTCTGAAAAAAGTTTGGATTTTCTTCTAGGACCTACTAATCAATTTCCTCAACTGACATCTGAATGTTCGTCATCTGTCGAGATATCGCTTCCATTTTGATTTCGTGACCTAATTAGGCAGTTTTTCGACCCAAAAAAATCAATGGTGGAAACAGAATTGAGCTATCTTTGCTCTGAAAAAAGTTTGGATTTTTTCTAGGACCTACTAATCAATTTCCCTAACTGACCTGAATTTTCGTCATCTGTCGAAATATCGCTTCCATTTTGATTTTGTGACCTAATTAGGCAGTTTTTCGACCCAAAAAAATCGATGGTGGAAACAGAACTGAGCTATCTTTGCTCTGAAAAAAGTTTGGATTTTTTCTAGGACCTACTAATCAATTTCCCTAACTGACCTGAATTTTCGTCATCTGTCGAGATATCGCTTCCATTTTGATTTCGTGACCTAATTAGGCAGTTTTTCGACCCAAAAAAGTCAATGGTGGAAACAGAATTGAGCTATCTTTGCTCTGAAAAAAGTTTGGATTTTCTTCTAGGACCTACTTCCTTAACTGACATCTGAATGTTCCCCATCTGTCGAGATATCGCTTCCATTTTGATTTCGTGACCTAATTAGGCAGTTTTTCGACCCAAAAAAGTCAATGGTGGAAACAGAATTGAGCTATCTTTGCTCTGAAAAAAGTTTGGATTTTTTTCTAGGACCTACTAATCAATTTCCTTAACTGACATCTAAATGTTCGTCATCTGTCGAGATATCGCTTCCATTTTGATTTCGTGACCTAATAAGGCAGTTGATAGTGGAAACAGAATTGAGCTATCTTTGCTCTGAAAAGAGTTTTTTTTTTAAAGGACCTTCAAATAAATTTCCTCAACTGACATCTGAATGTTCCCCATTTTTCGAGATATCGCTTCCATTTTGATTTCGTGACCTAATTAGTCAGTTTTTCGACCCAAAGAAGTCGATGGTGGAAACAGAATTGGGTTATCTTTGCACTGAAAAAAGTTTGGGTTTTCTACTAGGACCCACTGATCAATGATTCGAGCTGAAATCTGAAATTTTCCCATCTGTCGAGATATCGCTTCCATTTTGAATTCGTGACCTAATTAGGCAGTTTTTCGACCCAAAAAAGTCAATGGTGGAAACAGAATTGAGCTATCTTTGCTCTGAAAAAAGTTTGGATTTTTTTCTAGGACCTACTAATCAACTTCCTTAACTGACATCTGACTGTTCCCCATCTGTCGAGATATCGCTTCCATTTTGATTTCGTGACCTAATTAGGCAGTTTTTCGAACCAAGAAAGTCAATGGTGGAAACAGAATTGAGCTATCTTTGCTCTGAAAAAAGTTTGGATTTTTTTCTAGGACCTACTAATCAATTTCCTTAACTGACATCTAAATGTTCGTCATCTGTCGAGATATCGCTTCCATTTTGATTTCGTGACCTAATAAGGCAGTTGATAGTGGAAACAGAATTGAGCTATCTTTGCTCTGAAAAGAGTTTTTTTTTAAAGGACCTTCAAATAAATTTCCTCAACTGACATCTGAATGTTCCCCATTTTTCGAGATATCGCTTCCATTTTGATTTCGTGACCTAATTAGGCAGTTTCTCGACCCAAAAAAGTCGATGGTGGAAACAGAATTGGGTATCTTTGCACTGAAAAAAATTTGGGTTTTCTACTAGGACCCACTGATCAATGATTCGAGCTGAAATCTGAAATTTTCCCATCTGTCGAGATATCGCTTCCATTTTGATTTCGTGACCTAATTAGGCAGTTTTTCGACCCAAAAAAGTCAATGGTGAAAACAGAATTGAGCTATCTTTGCTCTGAAAAAAGTTTGGATTTTTTTCTAGGACCTACTAATCAACTTCCTTAACTGACATCTGACTGTTCCCCATCTGTCGAGATATCGCTTCCATTTTGATTTCGTGACCTAATTAGGCAGTTTTTCGAACCAAGAAAGTCAATGGTGGAAACAGAATTGAGCTATCTTTGCTCTGAAAAAAGTTTGGATTTTCTTCTAGGACCTACTAATCAACTTCCTTAACTGACATCTGAATGTTCCCCATCTGTCGAGATATCGCTTCCATTTTGATTTCGTGACCTAATTAGGCAGTTTTTCGACCCAAAAAAGTCAATGGTGGAAACAGAATTGAGTTATCTTTGCACTAAAAAAAGTTTGGGTTTTCTACTAGGACCCACTGATCAATGATTCAAGCTGAAATCTGAAATTTCCCCATCTGTCGAGATATCGCTTTCATTTTGATTTCGTGACCTAATTAGGCAGTTGTTCGACCCAAAAAAGTCGATGGTGGAAACAGAATTGAGTTATCTTTGCACTGAAAAAAGTTTGGGTTTTCTACTAGGACCCACTGATCAATGATTCAAGCTGAAATCTGAAATTTTCCCATCTGTCGAGATATCGCTTCCATTTTGATTTCGTGACCTAATTAGGCTGTTTTTCGACCCAAAAAAGTCGATGGTGGAAACATAATTGAGCTATCTTTGCTCTGAAAAAAGTTTGGATTTTCTTCTAGGACCTACTAATCAACTTCCTTAACTGACATCTGAATGTTCCCCATCTGTCGAGATATCGCTTCCATTTTGATTTCGTGACCTAATTAGGCAGTTTTTCGACCCAAAAAAGTCAATGGTGGAAACAGAATTGAGCTATCTTTGCTCTGAAAAAAGTTTGGATTTTCTTCTAGGACCTACTAATCAACTTCCTTAACTGACATCTGAATGTTCCCCATCTGTCGAGATATCGCTTCCATTTTGGTTCTGTGACCTGATTAGGCAGTTTTTCGAACCAAGAAAGTCAATGGTGGAAACAGAATTGAGCTATCTTTGCTCTGAAAAAAGTTTGGGTTTTCTACTAGGACCCACTGATCAATGATTCAAGCTGAAATCTGAAATTTCCCCATCTGTCGAGATATCGCTTTCATTTTGATTTCGTGACCTAATTAGGCAGTTGTTCGACCCAAAAAAGTCGATGGTGGAAACAGAATTGAGTTATCTTTGCACTGAAAAAAGTTTGGGTTTTCTACTAGGACCCACTGATCAATGATTCAAGCTGAAATCTGAAATTTTCCCATCTGTCGAGATATCGCTTCCATTTTGATTTCGTGACCTAGTTAGGCTGTTTTTCGACCCAAAAAAGTCGATGGTGGAAACATAATTGAGCTATCTTTGCTCTGAAAAAAGTTTGGATTTTCTTCTAGGACCTACTAATCAACTTCCTTAACTGACATCTGAATGTTCCCCATCTGTCGAGATATCGTTTCCATTTTGATATCGT